GAAGATCACAGGCCAGTGGGTGGAAAGTCTTGTGGATCCAGTGGTGGTATAAGCATCTCAGCACTGGCAGGGGTCTCTACATAGCTCCTCCAGCTCAGGGCACTAGCATAGCTCCATGTATCTTGTCAGCTTAAATATCTCCCAGGGATTGAGCCTGTGTCCTGCCTCTAGCGAGCTATTTATCACCTTAATGGCTCCAAATGAGGTCATCAAGCTGCAACCTGATTGACAGGCTAAACTCCACCCCTTCACTCAATACTCAAATTGACAACAGATTATGTAACTACCACACCTTTTGTGGGAGCCCTGATGGTGTAGTGGTTAAATGTTAGGTTGTGATACACAAGGGCAGCAGTTTGAAGCCACCAGCCACTCCATAAAAGAAAGGTGAGTCTTTCTCCTACCACAGTTACAGTCTCAGAAACCTACAAGGGCAATTCAACCCTGTTCTATAGGGTCATTATAAACCTCAATTGATTCGATAACAGTGAGTTTTTTAGATTTGGGTTTTTTTTTTACGTTTTAGAAGATGGCACCCATGTGGAATCAACCACTCTGTGCTCCCATTGTCAGACCAGAAAATCAAAAAAGAATGCAGGCAAGCTGGGGATTTGTTTGCTTCTTTAACTCCCCCATTTTCATTTACCACACACCTTGTTCATTAACAAAGCTTTACCATAACAAAGAGGGAAAAACCACCAGGTTTTCAAAGCAGCAGCTGAGGCCTAGAAACAGGTTTACTAGGATGGGCTGGACACCTACTCCGAGGGACGCAGAGGCTGCTCATAGCCACATAATAGCAAGTCAGTAAACCAAAGCTTTCAGATAAGACACCAGCCTGCTGAGTAGGACATTGCTGTACTTCACCCCACAAAGCTACCTAGGTAGGTGACAGGAAGAGACCCCATCCCCTCACCCCCACTTCTTCACCCCCACCATCAGAAAAGAGCAAATCCCACCCCCTCTGAGCCGATTTACCAGAAGTACATTCTCTCAAGATAATTAACTCACATCACAAGAATCACAGCCATTCCAGAAACCAAATCATTCCTCAAGTCTGAATCTCAAACCACTCTAACACCCTACAAAATTACAAGGTAGTAAAGCAGCATACCACCAAAAACTGTACCCAAGTGTGCAAGACACCTCTGCTTCAAGCAGCCCTGCCGACCCGATTGCCCCCCAGGATTGGATGCGGAGCCCAGTGGCTCTTTCTCCTGACATTCTTGATGTTCCGTGTTCTATTACTCCCACACTCCCAAACAGTGCACTATTCTTAAAAGTCATCTTCAACCAGGATTTACCCATTTGTGGGTATACCTAAGAACCAGGGAGATAGATAGATAGATAGATAGATAGATTACTTTACCTTTTGCCTTCCAAATTAACTTGTTTACTTTCTAGTCCTTCAACACACCCCCAACCAGAAGTTAAAAGCTACAATAGAGACTAAGCTCCTGTGTAAAGCTTGGAGCCCAAACAAACATACATTAACAACTATCCTGCAGCTTACCCTAGTATTATTTTCCCCATTAGTATTCTTCAAACTTTAGTTTCTTGCCCTCTCCTTTAACTTTCCATTCTTTAGTCTACAGACCTGAAATTTTGCTTCAGAACACTATCTAGCTATGCTTTAATTTCATGCTTCTTATTGTCAAAACTGTGCTGTCCTTCCCACCCTCATAAAACCAAAAGCTGGCCGTGACTCTACATTTAAAAAAATAACAACCTTTTGTCTATCTATCAAATATTAGTACCCATTCCTTCATCACTGCAAACACACACTTTTGGGGCCTAAGATGCCTTCCTGTAACTTACCAAATAACACTACCTGATCTCTCCCATTTTAAAATTTTATCTATGCCTCCTTTCACAACCCCCCAATACTTCCTCCCTTACTCTATGAATGCTTGCTAATTCCTAATCCCACCCCCAGATACTTAGTACAAACTATCTATAACCCCTCTACTGCACCACCCAACAAAGTTAACCGCTCACACATAACAAAACCTAGCTAACACCCATAATAGTGACCCAAAATATGTCAAGGAACAACAGAAGATATTGGTGAACACAAATAAACAAGAGAAGCAGAAACAAATAACCGAATACCAACCAGATCTAAATGTAATGCCTGAAATTGAACAGGCTATGGATTTACCCAAAAGGGAATTTAAAGAATAGGATGGCGCTCATGCAATAGCTGAAGGAAGAGCCTGGGAGGAAAAGTGAAACAGTAGAAAAGCTAGAAACCTCAGCACATGCCGTAGAAGAAAAACTCCAAACAAAAACACAAAAATCAAACACTCTCATAGCAGAACTAAACAACCCTATAGAGGAACAGACAAACAGAACTGAAGAGATGGAAACACAAATCCGTGACCTAGGAAACAAATCTACACACTCTAACCTAAAAGAGGAACAAATAACCAAAAAATGCAAAAGAGACCAAGTAAAACATGAGAATACTGTGGAAGACAATTAAGAGCAACAACCTGAGTCTTATAGGTATTCCAGAAGAGGAAGAAGCAAAGAAATCCTCGTAGACAATTGTCTAAGGACTCCTGAAAAGGAAATTCCTCAACGTCAAAATGAGGGAAAGATAGATATCTAGGACATCAAGAGAACCCCAGCCAGGAAAGATCCCAAAAGGAAAATGTCCGGCATATTGTAGTCAAGATGTCTAACATCAATGACAGGAAAAGACTTCTAAGAGCAGCCAGAGGGAAAAAAGATCAATTATATATAAAAGGTTAGCAATTCGAATAACTTCAGATTTCTCAGCAAGAACCATGCAGGCAAGAACACAATGGAGTGATGTATACAGAGTACTGGAGGGGAAAAATTGTAAACCAGGATAAAAATTGTATCCAGCAAAGTTACCAATCAAATATTACAGAGAAATAAGAGTATTTCAAGACAAGGAGAAACTTATAGAATTCACAAGAACAAGACGACCACTACAAAGACTATTCAATGAAGTACTATGGCCAAAAACCCAACAACACA